TTCATGATAACCTACTGCTAATGCCTGACCCTCCTTATGTGGTCTCTGATTATGGCAATGATGTGTTAGAGGTAGTATTCTAAGAATTATTAACAATGAAAACTGTTGTTTTGATATTTAGTGGTTATGCCCATGAAAACTGTGATAGTGGTCTCCAATCGTATATATGATGAAGTCATGAAATTAGTGCTTTACCAAATTAATTCTAGTGTCGACTCGTGGCCAAAAGTCATCATGAAATGAATCACAGTTGACCTCCATTTGACGTGGAAACACTAATCAGCAAATGATAACATGTACACTGTAGGCTTAGAATTACATATGGTGATTGCAGTTTGATTGAATATAAACACAAAATCCAGCTGTCTGACATGTGATGTAAGCAGCGTTATGTATATACTCCACCGTCCACGACTGCTGAACTGAACATGTTGACTATGTGGGTGAGCAGTGTTTACCTTTGAATTATAAGATTAGTGGACAGTTATCAAGAAGAAAGACAGCATCATAAACAGTTGGCAACTGTCATAACTGTTTGATGAACCACACATGATACTCAACATGATGAGAAGCACCAAGTCTACCGATCAATTCCATTATTTATTGTTAGTTCTGTGTACATCATGTGTTTCAGCCTACTAAACTCGCTGCCATGTAATACCAATTTTATGAAAGTTGTGAATAGTTGTGGTATCTGATGAGCAAAAGCGAGTCAGATACCAGAACTATTCACGAGTTTCATAAAATTGGTATTACAACAGGAGCGAGTTAAGTTTCTTATTTATTTCTTGCCGTTTATAACTTGTTTAGAATTTCACTGTTATGTGTGATCAGGCCGACATCTACGGGATCCACAGCATAATTAAGTTTAGCAGAATAATACTTCAAACAGGTCAAAAGTTCATACATATTGATTTCATGCCATGCAAGTGTGGTGGCATGTGGTCCTGCACAGTGCTCAGGTCTCAAATCAGGTGAAGTTAAGCAACGTTGGTCAGGTGATGGGTGATTGCGTTTCAGCAGCTTGGCTCCAGAGAGTTTATAGTACTTTGGTCATGCCCTATACACTGAATCACACTTAAAACAAAGTTACATGAACATTAGTTATTTTAGGAGGTCTCCAATAGTGGACGACATCCTCCATTACTGAGATAATTTACAGATAACCTCCAATAGTTCAACCTCCATTAGTTGAATAATTTACAGTACATTAGTAACGCACAAGCTCTGCATTTTCAGTCAACAGGGTCAGCCCATGCAGGTGGTAGGTTCGTTTCAGGAGAGACAAACTGACAGTCTACGTATATTATAAGACAAAGACAACAAAACAAATGATTTCACAAATATCCATGCTGAACACAAATTCAAAATTTCGCAGAAAATGTTGTGCCGTCACCAAGTTTCATTGTGAAATCGCGTCTGTCACTTGTGTAGGGAGCCTTGTTCGCCTTTTGATGGGCCCAGCGTCGATCTTGTCGATGGTTGATTGCCTGGCGGATCAAAGGTTGCGGCGTCAATAACGGGGGACCAGTTACAGAAGCACTGGGACGTCTTGATTTTCTCTGCATGATTGAGTCTACTGTATCCGCCATTTCCTTAGATGTCCTCTGATAAAAGAAAAGCTTATTTTGCTTGATTATATCACATAAACATTTAATTTTGCATTATATCAAAATGCAACTTTTATTTCCTTGTCATATTAGTTTTAGTAGTACAACAGGGGCTTGTAACGCAAAAAATAGCAGCTCCAAGATATATATAGTATACTGACACTGGGTGTGACCACTGAATATATAGAAATATTATCTGGGATTCGAACTCCGGGGATGTTGATGCGAAGTCTGGCAATTGCCAAAATGCATTATCGCGTCCTCTAACATCCACAGCAATGTTGCAACTATACTAGCCACATTAAGAAACTGTGCATAGAGAAAATATAGATATAAGGGCACACCGTCCATATATGAAATATAGGTTTGAACACAGCAATTATTGGAGACATTCAAACGCTCATGCACGTGCCATGCGATATGACGTCATTAATGGGGGCCTATGGACGTGCAATGTGTTACTGCACGTGCATCCTGTGCAGCTGTACACAGCATGTGCAACTCAAAATTTGCTGTCACTTTGGAACGCATGATCTGTGGTCATTCAAAAATTCAAAACTTCTCAGGCGCAGACACAAGCATATCACAAGCAAATCATGCCAAGATTGACAGCTGCACAGCGTCATGAAGTCATTGGAATGATCCGAGCGGGAATTGGGCAACAACAGGTGGCAACACATTTCCAATGCCATCGTAACACGATATCGGCATTGGTGAGGCGTTATCAGAACGTTGCCGACCACCCACGTTCAGGACGTCCCCAAGTAACGGTGCCAAGACAGGACAGATGGATTCGAGTAACACATCTCCAACACAGGTTCCAAACGGCAGTAACGACGTCCCAGACAATTCCTGGACTGCGCCGTATCCATCCCAACACTGTCAGGAATCGTTTACGTCAGTACGGGATTCGACCACGACGCCCTGCCATACGTCCCATCCTGACACACCGTCATCGAGTCAACCGTCTAAGATGGTGTCGAAATCATGTTCGCCAACCTCGAATATGGTGGAGAAATGTTGTCTCTACAGATGAATCAAGGTTCAACATTTCCCACAGTGATGGGCGCCAACCTGTCTACCAACGTTTGGGAGAACGTTATGCACGCAACTGTATTGTGGAAAGGAATCGTTTTGGAGGTGGCTCTGTGATGATTCATGCAGCTGACCGTACAAAGTACATAGTGCATAAGAACATTAGAATGTAAGGTAAAGTCATCCAAAATATGTTAATCAGGTGCACATTACGTTAGACAGACAGGTAGAACTCGCTGACTGACAGACAGAAACGATGCATGGGTACTACTTCTTCCTTTTCACAAAATTAGTTGTGAACTTGTGAGAGAATTATATTTACCTTAATGACATATACTTTTCGTACAGTCTGACGAGGCATCTTCCAGGGTTTTCCTCATTACTAGAGATGGTCACATGTTTCCTTTCAACCTTCCTGTGCTTCAGCCCCCCTCTGTTTGTTTTGGAAATGTCCTCAGTATATTTCAATTGTTTGATGCCATTGCTTGACATCAACAACTGTAACTGTGAATTTGAACCACTGCGTAGGTATCTGTGTTCATCTCCTGCCCTAAGAGCAAAGTTCAACCCGTTTAAATAGACGAGGGTGTCCAAGAGCTTCTGTGGTGTATCTTCTCCGAGTATACCTCTTTCCCAAAGTACATCTTCCTGCTGTTCAGTGATGACATCCGCTTGTTGTTTTTCAACCCCTATCCCTTTTTGAGCTAGTAATTTCATCTTTGCATCAAGAACGGATCGCATACCGGTGTAACAAGATGACTCAAAGAAATTGACGACAACTCCATTCCTTCTTAAGTAATACTGAAGACACAATTTCGTACAGAGTGTTGCCGCGGTACTGTTCACGCTTTTGGTTTTGAACCTCCAACAGAAATAACATCAATGTTCTGTTCAGATCATTTTCGTTTTCAGCTAACGACACTATGTTTTGATTTGCTATTGGAATTTCATTATTACTGCCTTCTTGACTCTCAACAACCCAATTCTACAAAATATTCAAAGCCCATCTACTCTTATGTTCAGTGTTCACAGAGTATGCCGAATCGCACAAATGCACCATATCCGTTTCAGAAAGGGGAGCACCGAACCGAAGCTTTTCATTGTCAAGATTGGTTCCCAACTGCGTAACCTGTACGGCTTTCTCAAAACGTTCATTGTCACCTTTAAACGAATCTAGTATTTAGGAATTTAACTGTCTCTCAGACACACGTGTGCCAATAATTCCTGATTCTTCTATCATCTGACTTGCCAAGTATAGTTCGGTGTCGCAATTATCATCAAAGTTATCCTGACTTGTATTATACGGTTCAGTGTCAGTGTTCTCATCAGAAAATAACCGGCCTAATTCAAAATTCTGACAATAATCTTCTTGAAAGTTATCCATATAAAGTAATGTTTCAACATCTGAGTTAACAACCACATCAGACTGATTACAAAATGTGTTCTGAGTCACGAACAATTCATCACCACAATCCCACATGTTGTCTCCCATACGGACCAAATTTCCATAACTCGTATGCATGTGGTCCTCCAATAGTTTAGCACGTGCATTGTTCCGTTTCATCGAGTCGATCATAATCATTTGATCGGCCTCCAACCTGCTTCACGTGCAAAACTAATGGCGAGTTTTCAGACATTCTCCTTCACATAACACATGTGGTGTCTACTTGGGCAAGTGACTTTGTTCGAAATGTGCCTCTGTTCACCCAATAGTGAACGAGTACCCGGTAGGCTGAGATGGCAATGTGGGCGTTAACCTTCTTGCACCTAACAGACAGCTTGGGTTGTTTATTCCCCAGTTAGTATAACTCTCGTGTACATAGACATATGAGTGTCGTTGTGCTACCACAAAGTTTACAATCACGTCACAATATGCTATGACCTAATTTGTGGAATTTTGTTGCAAGATCTACCAGCGAAACAATGCTATGTGATGTCAGCCTGGCAACAGAGTTGCTGGGCTCATCAAGTGCGTATTAGCTCCTCTCAGTGATCTATCATCTCTACACGCAAAGTCGTTGAATAAGCCCAGGGATGTTGAGAATTTTCAATATTTGTTCGTGAAAACTGTTTCCGCATTACATAAGCACACATTTTGGGTATTGCACAATGTGTAATACAGCTGTATATGTTTATTAAACGAGATATCTCTCCACAGGCAAGTAATATAATGTAATATGTTGAGAGAAAAAATGTGCGCCATTATTAATGCAGACATTAATTTCTTTGCCGACATTGTGCAAGCAAGCAACATTCTTAAGTGCTGTTATTATAAGTCTGTAATTTCTTACAAACAATTGCTTCAAGTTTTGTCTCATTTTGTAATTTGTTCTTATTTTTGTTTAATATTTGCAGAATGGATTCTGGTTTTCCATTGGTTGGTGTGTGTTTTTCTTTTTGCCAAGCGTAATCTTTGCTGTGAAGCTGGCTAAGTACTACAGAAAGATGGAAATGTTGGACAGCTTTGATAACCCTTTACCGTGAGTATTTGTTCTATGCATGTTAATTGTCCAGTACATCCATGTAAGAAGAATTTGGTTATCAACTGTCAAAGGGTCGAGGTCACCAGAGGTTTCATAATGAAACATGACCCAGATGTTGATATTGACAAGAATACAAAGCATCTTCCAAAGACTTAAAATGAATTAATATATGTCTGTTCATATCAAATGCAAAGAAATGTTACTGTCAAATTCATTCATTCTTTAAAGGTTTTAAAGGTTTGTAAGTATATAAAAGGACTGCATGTGGATATACTTTCAAATTAGCTTGACTCATGGAAGTTTCTGGTTTGAAGTTATACAGCAGCAATTGTGGGTTTTCAAAGGCAGATCTAGGATTTAAAAAGAAGAGGGGTCTGCACACTACACCCAAGTCACAAGGAACAGAAACATATGATAGGGACACAAGTTAGGTATCTACAAAAGAGAGGAGGTATGCACCCCCACCCACACATGCTCTGATCATATTAAAATGGAAGTTTTCAAATGGCCAGGTATACACAGAGACAAGTCTTTGAAAGGCATTTAGAAGTGGTACACATAAGGAAGAGAATTCATAGATGTCAACTTCTTTATTATGAGGAACACAACGTTTCGGAGTATATGCTTACTCCTTTATCAGGTGAATGAATGCTATGAGCCAGAGAGCATATATATATGTACATGTAAGAACAACTAAAGTAATAAGATAACAAAAGGTGGAAATTAACAAGGGAAGCCAACAGATAATTGGCACTGATAGGTGATTAGCAATAGACAATGGAAGCAAACACTTTACAGGATGTGTTCTGAAATAGCGTATTTCAGGTCCACCCCTACCAAGGCCCTGTCGCACTCAACAGATTTTCTGCCTCATCAAGAACAAAGCCAACATGGATGTCACCTTTTCTAGCGATAAGTCCATCAAGACTCATCTACAAGCCAATGGCAGAGGCACAAGCAGTGTAAGTCCCAACACCCGAGGATGTATTTACCAGATCCCCTGCAACTGTGGCCACTAGTACATCAGAGAAACCCTCAGAACCCTCAACACCAGACTCAAAGAATATCAGGCCTCTGTCAACAAACAACACCTGAAATACGCTATTTCAGAACACATCCTCAAGAACCAAGACCATAACATCATGTGGGAAGCCACCAAAGAACAACAACTGTCAACAAAGAAAACAACAAGAAGCTATTGACATCAGAAGAAACCAGCCAGACATGAACCGTGACCAGGGAACCCATCTACCTTGTGCTTGGGACGTATTGCTTTGATCTTTGTCGGTGCCTATTATCTAGCTGGCTTCCATTTACCCTTTGCTATTTCTATTCGTTTATCTATCAGTGCTAATTACCCCCACCCTCCCGTTTGCCCTTTGTTCCACTGCCATTACCTATCAGTGATATTTAGTCCTGGCTTTCAGTTGTCCATAACTATCACTGTTAATTACTGTAAAGTGTTGGCTTCCACATTGTCTATTGCTAATCACCTATCAGCGCCAATTATCTGTTGCCTTCCCTTGTTAAGTTTCCATCTTTAGTTATCTTATTATTTTTGGTGTTCTTACGTGTACATATATATATGCTCTCTGGCTCATAGCATTCATTCACATGATGAAGGAGTAAGCATATACTCCGAAACATTGTGTTCCTCATAATAAAGAAGTTGACATCTATGACTTCTCTTCCTTATACACAGAGAGATTAATATATTAAACACAGAGGTCTATTCAATTTGTAAGTACAAGTCATTTTAAATTCCACCAATCAAATCACAGTTGATCCAATATCTTTATATATTTATTCAAATGCTACAGAATACACAATAATGCTGACATATTAAAAACAGAACAAAGGTAACATTTGGTCCAATTCACTTTTTATTCATAGGATTAAGAGCCAGATCATATTAAGCCAATCACATCAAATCATTTATTCAATTCTGAAGAGCAGATCTGAAAAATCAGTTTTCTGATTCTGCACCCAGGTGACATTTCAAGAAAATCCATTGTCGTACTTCTATTGGTTACTTTTTATTTTTAACTTTATAGTTTTATAACTTTTAACAAAACATGATCTATAATTAGGGATGAATGTACCCAGGGATTTAAGTCTAGTCCCAACAATTACAAATGCGCATACACAGGTCCATAAAGAAGTTAAATGGATGTAAGTCATCTGTAGTTTGGTGTATTAGTTAATATCATACAGACATCTCAAAAACATTATTGTGAAATATGTGTCTTATCTTAATTTACCCAGAGCTCTAAATGTCATTTCATCATGAGGAAGTGAATATTGTTTGAATATGCCACTGTGTACAATATTTCAGTAAATTATACATCTGACAGTTTGATGTGGGAGGAAAGACAGAAGTGATGTTAGGTTTAATCACTTCCGTGAAACGCACAAGCATTTGTATGGTACTGATAAACCTAAATACATAATCTGGAGGAATCATGGATTTGAACCCATGACCTAAGGTTTCTAGGCACACCTAAGGGACACAACTCGTCAAAGCATGTTGCTGTAGCTAAGACTGTTGCCGTGTTGGACCAAATGTGTTCTCATTGATTTGAAATAGAAATGCAGAGAGATTGATTCTTGCTGTAAATATCTCATATTAAAAAAATATAATTTTAGATGGAGTGACAGTGTGACATATTTTGACCTTTAAAATGTTGCATTGTTGCCCTTAGATTAAAAACAATATCATTATTCAAAGTGTAAAAATGCAACAAATGATCAGAATGTTGGCGTTGTCACACTTTGGTTATTATTGATACTTTTTTGATTGTTTATGTAAGGGTGACAGGGCAACAGCGTCACTTCTAGGATTTCATACACATGGGCTCTATTGGTAGAAATCTTCTGTGGCTTAATTCTATTCCAGGCCAAAATATAACTTTGCTGATGATGGAACCCCCAGGGACAGCAACAGATCAGCTGTGATTTGCAAATGCATCACGTATAAAACAAATAGCAAAATCCTGTCTGAAACTTGTCATTTAAGTGTGGCATCAGACAAAACATGCAAAATACATTCAAAACTGTAGTAGTATAGGTAATGGGGGTTCTGCCGCAACTCCACTGGAGCCAGATTTATATACCTATACTGCTACTACAGAGGGAATTTTTTATGCCAAAATGATGATGCGATTCAACGAAAGTCATGAGATTAAGTTAAATTGGCTCTAGCTCACCAATACCTGGGGCCAATCATTGCTTTAGATGAGTCTAAATGGTAATAAAAATATTCTTTATTATTTTTATCAATAAAGCGATATTCAACATTTTTATTAAGTTCTTCATTCATTTTACTAGGAGACCAGACTATATAACTACACTCTTCTTGTAAATTGATAAGAAACAATTGATAACCGTATTTGGTTGGTTTGACATCACTGATATAATAAAAACCTTGTGGTAATTCTCTCCATTTAATAGTTTTTTCGATCTCCATTATTATATATATTTATGTAAGCATTTGTCTAAATGTGATCAAATGATATTTTTAATCTCCAACCAGTTCTTTGGTTTTGGCATGAAATAACTGACGCGCTTGTTGCCTCCCCTGTTCTATGAATTTTTTTTTCTCGTCTTCGCTAATACCACTGGTCTTACGAGATTTTGATCGAATCTCCTGCTTCATTTCGTTGTATTTGGTGAGTTCTGACAACACTAAACGAAACTCATCCTTGGATATCTTACAATCGACCATTGCTGTTGAAATATGATCCTCAATGCTGTTCAACTTTGCTTCGGCGAGTATCCGAATACTATCGTGTTTTAATGCTTTCTTTTGTAACCTACGAGAAATGAATTTTATCGCTATTCCTGCCAGTCTCGAGACTCCGGCACCTATTTCCATGCCGAGCACGATAGGCGCGGCGATTATAGTTGATAGTAAACCAACACCAGCTACACCGAGTCCCATGCTAGCCGCTACAAGAGCGGTGTCAACTCCGCGAGAGCATTCACAGCTCTGCGATACTTTTTATACAATCCAAGTCTCAACTCCCTATCCTTCTCTATTCCATGTTTTATGTCGCTTATTTGATGTAATCGAAATCCATCAACAGTTTCCATCTTTTCCATTGCTTCATCGAGCGCCGGATATAAACTCATAGTGTATATTACGAATATAGAATAGTCTTTAATTGGTCTTGCTTAAATGTTTTGAGAGTATACATCAACCTTATCAAATGTATATTATACGGCAAGAATATCTTAGTAAGAGAAATGCTGTCACTTTTAATAATTTGGACCCCCTCGAGGGTTGCAACGGGTGATGCTCCGATATGAATAATACTGCAACGTTGACGCTCGTGTTTCTTGAGCCATTTAATCCATAGACCTGGTAATATTTCGAAAGGCATCTTCCGGTACATCTCCAAACAAGACTTCAATATTTAGCGTAGAAATATTAGGTATTGCACTCAAGTTATCTTTAATATCATTGAATTCTGTAACCAAATGTAAACTAACATTTTTTAAGGCCGGACGACTACATAACATATGACCTGGGTTTTCTGGCAGGGGAGAGACTAACACACTTTTTCGTTTTGACGGGATATAGGCCGCGAGTACGATACCACTATTTATTATCGTTAAATTATGTCCCTTACCCATCATAACATACGGTGGGGTAATGACGATATTCAATAGCCACTCGATGTTTGCTTCGACCATAGTCCATTTATTCTCACCGTTGCGAGTAATATTGTACGAAGTGTTTTTAATGAGTCTACTAACGTCGACATCGCTTAAATCTTCTAGATTACCCGTGAATATAACTTCTTTCCGCTTGTATACATTATCGTGTAAGTGTAAAGCGTATAACTTACCATTGCTACCGGGTTTATCGAATCCTTCCGTGTCTCCGAGATCGGAAAGCGCAATTGTATTACATTGTCTGAGCGTTCCAGGGCCTGATGCATCAACCATATGGAGTGTTACACTTAAGTATCCTATATGTACAGGTTGGTGTTTTA